TAGGTTAAAGGTTGGACTCAATGATCTCAAAGGTCTTTTCCAACCAAAGCGATTCTATGATTCTATGATTCTATGTCTACAGATTTTAAAATCAGGTGCCTACATCTTCTGCAAATCCACCTCTTAATCCTTAAACAGGTATGTCTTACAAGAAGACCTGTTTAACTTTAATCTCACTTCATAGTAGTTCTTTTAGGATTCTGAGAAAAAAATAACTAAGAAAAATGTATTTAGGAAAAATAAATAGGGAGATTAAATTATGTTTTACTGTTCCTGGAAACCTCCCATATATTACAACCAAAGTATCTGTAATTACAGCTTTGATAATTTCAATTTGCAGAGCTGAAAAATTGACAAAAACTGAAGATTATCTGAATTCATCAGCGTAGTGAAAGAAAATCTAAACCAATAATCCTCTCCCTACAACCAGAGAAGAGCAGTCTCACATATTTTATCCTTGATATTAAAATGCCTTCTTGCTAAATTATTACAGTTTTCTAACAATAAACGTACTTTAGAAAAGCAGAGTTTTATCAGAAAGTGTCAAAACTGAGTATTTTAGGCTACATACAAACTATTTGCAAAATCCACCCAAACAACAATGACCAAAGACAATCCTACTTAGTTCCATTTATTAAACATTAACTTATGTCTTATTCAGATGAATTCAGGTAAATCTTCTGACAGCATCATTCTTTTTTGTTTTTCTTTCTCTTAGATAACTAAAACATTATTTGAACTCCTTTTGTTTGGGCACGTCAACAGAATATTTGGGATTCCCACAAAACCGTTCCCAAAGTTCCTGAACTTTAACATGATCAGAGGACTTTCCTCTGCCATTAATTTTGAAACAGAACAAGTAATGAATGAAATCTTGGCCTCAGTGAAGTCACATTCACATTGACACAAATAAGTTCAAAATGTCATTCATATTATGCAACAGCAGAGTCTACTTACTCATTTAGAATCAGATCTGGTGCAAAATATAACATCTGACCACTGACATGTTTGTATGATCTCCATCCCATTGCAAAAACCATTAGACTCATCCAGGAATACTGGATGAGGGTTATCTGATCATCGATATGTAAATTCCGAAATCCTGGAAATGAAATTAAGAGTTAAAATACTTTATAATTCTCATTTAGACAACAGTTGAGTAGGTGTTCTGAGATTACAACTTTGAGCTATAAACAGAGAATGCCTGGAAAGACAAGTGCTTTTGGGGATGTAGCTCTCAGAAGTTTGTGAAGTTTGTATAATAACTGGCTATCTCACTTTTGATAGTTAACCTCCTGTCTTTTTGTTCTGATCCAGTATTTTGAAATGGTCAAGCCAAAATTAACTTTAGCAGTCAGAAGTCACTGTTTCAGGAAATAGGAATGCATCTCATTTTGCTTTGATAAAAATACGTGTTTGTAACCAACTGTAACCAACTTATTTAATACAGATGGTTTGGACTTTAGTGTTCTTAACAAGAGATACAGTTGTAATACAATAAACATCCACATATGAGTATCTCTCTTGCATTTAAGTAAAGAGTATTCAGTTGTGTGTTTGCCTTTGATAACTTTTGCTCTTTGATAACTTTAAAGGTTGCTATGAAGTATCTGAACCAATCTAACAGCTTCCTGCCACTGAAAGCAGTGGTCCTGTTCTTCATTACCTGGTCCTGTTACCTCCTTCAAGCAAGCATTCATGCTGCCCCTCAGTGAACTGGTTCAGCTCATGAAGGCATCAGAAAACTACAGAGGGCAAAAAAAAAGGTTTGTTTTCTTCTCACTTAATAAGATGAATCAGTTCAACCAAGAGGTCTGACAAGCGCAAGCTGCAATGGGGAAAAGCAGTGATAAGGACTACCCTTTGCTGCAGCAGCGAAGCGTCAAACTGAGCTCACATGAAACTGTATTTCCAGGCTTTCTGGTCAATGTATTAATTTGTACATATCCCAGGATCAGGCCCCTATGACCATACAGAGCATGTACATACCTAACACGAATTTTTTTGGAATCTAGTCTTGGATCTTCATAAATTCATTTACTTCTCATTGCCAGGCTATTTGTGAGCTGCTTATTCCGAACTGGAACTATTTATTACAAATTTGCTCTGTTGCTTTCAAAAATCATTTCAGTAAGAATAAGAATAAAGAATATGCAGAAATATTAACATTTTTTCATACCAAAAGAATGAATAATAGAGCAGGAGGGGTTAGGGTGGTGAGGCTGTTGTAACAATCACATACGGGGACTCCCTGGGCTTCTGTTGTTTTTTAGAGTGAGTCTAAAGATTTAGATGCATTCCTTTAAGAGTGCCTTCCTATTAAAGTGTATTTGATTGGTGCATATATTACCTAATGAAGTGGAAGGTTAGTAATTTTAGAATTTGTTAAGAACTAATTAAAAGGCAGACAACAATATTCTCTTTTGACTGCTTGTCCTATGACATATTTGCTTAACTAGAATTCACTACATCGAAGAAGTGCCTTTACCTGGTAGCAACTTAGACCACTTGACGACACAAAGAAGTTGCCTCTCACAAAGATTATTTAGACTGGTCAGCAAGGAACTTGGTGTTTCAGGTTTTGTATTGTCATAACCAGCATAGACAACTTCTGGCTCGATGCCTCGTAGAACACTTATCATAGGGGGAACAAACTGTATTTCTTGATTTGGAGAAAAGGACAGCCTTTGGGTTAGAGATTGGCTTTCATCTTGAAGGGTTGCTGGCTGCTGGAGCGCAACATCTAATGTTCTCACAACCTTAATTTTGTTAAACTTTTTAATTTTTCGACCTGAAAAAGAAAATTGTTGACCTGTTAAAAAGAATTAACCAGAAACATATTTTCCTGTAGTGCTGGGTTACACTTTTAATCTATATAAGGAAACTAGAACTCTCTTCTGAATAAGTTTTCTATTTTTGACTATTTATCTAATTGAGAAATAATAATGGAAAATTCTTAAGAGTTTCTCCCTCCATATTCTCCCCCCTTCACTAAGAGATGAATGGCACCCACCCATTAAAATTATTGCCATGAATGCTAGGTTACAGTAACCTCATAAAGTGTTTTCTGGTTCAGTTCCCACTGTTCTATCATATGCCGACAGCTGAGCCAGCTGGCTCTACAATCCAGTTTCTATTCAATGTTAATTAAGGTTACTGTTTCTTTTTTCTCCCTAATATTCTGAAACTAAAATGCTAGTAATTAATTACTACACACAGAAACTCCTTTCCTCCAGTTCCATAAAGGCATTTCAGTCTCATGGCTAAATTCTGTTTTGATGATCTGTACTGTGATATTTTCCTCCTGTTTACCAGAAATAAAATAGAATTCAGGGAATGAGTGAAAAGCCAACAAATACTGTAAAACCACACGTCAACACTTACTTACGAAACTCTTCCCTTTCTAGAGAATAATTTCCCTCTCTCAGTATTTGCAATTCTCATTTCCATAGTGCAGTGGTTTGAATAACACTAACTAAAAAAAGAAAAAGGCTGAACTGCCTTCCCAAAATAAGCACAGATACTTAGGAACATGCCTATTCCATTTTCTTCATGTGCTCCTTTATCATAGGAGATACAGCAAATTTTATGAAAATCCAGTGTCTCCATTTTGGAAGACCTTGCCTGTACACTTTAGAGAATTACACTGACCTTTCCAAAACATTAATTAGTACATGGGTAGTACAACTTCAAGCAAGATTGATACAGCAAACATGGAAGGATTTCTTATGCTATTTCTAAATATTTTATACAGAACAAATTATATTACTTAAATTAATCATTCTTGATGTACACTGCCATAACTGGAGGCAGAATCAATCCTCTTGTTTGTGAACCAGACAGAATTGAGCAGATGAACACAATCTAAAAAGCCAAAATCTGGTTTTAAAAAAAAAAAATTTTGTGTTATGCCATCATTAATATGCATGTGTATGCATTTCACATGCAAAAAAGTTGTACATGAAACTGCAAAGCTTCAATTTAAATTAAAGAAGTATTTAAAATCCAAAGGGAGTATACTAAACAAAATTTCAAGAAACACACTTTATTGATAGTATAAATATGAGTGATGAGCTCTTCAGTGACAGTCATCATCCAATGAAGTCAGGGGTCATACTCCCGCTAACTTAACTGTGAGTTTAATTAGCTCAGTATCAAGTTCCCCAACAATCTTATGCTCATTTTATCACCTGTGGTAAGAATACAAATATTTCTGATTAGTGACTCCTTAGTAAAGAATGAAACACAAACTTAAATCTTATGTTACAGCTGAACCAAAAAAACCCCCAGAAGAATAGACAATATATTATGACAAGAGACTGAGGGCCAATTTCTATCATAACAAAGTTATACATAGTCCTAAACATGCTGGGAATTTCCCACTAACTATTGTTTAGGCATGAAGGAAAACAGAGGGGACAATGTATTTGATAGTTCATAAATAATGATTTCAGGTATTTTCTGAAATAATGGCTTCAGATACTTTTACAGTTCAGAGAACAAGTAAAGAAAGAAACCAAACAGAGTGCTTATCACACGGAAATGTTAGTAGTTAATAAGTACCCATGTTTCCAAGTGATTAAATGTATCAGAATTAATGTCACACTGGCTTGCAGAATTGCTTATGTGTTTATTTCTAATTACGTTGCTTAACAGCCACCAGTAAAGCAACTCCACTTGTTGCCTATCTACTTGAGAGGTGGCTACTAATAACTCACAGTAAATTTTCCCATCTACCACAAGGAGACCCTGTCAAATTAATGCAAACTCTTAATGACATATGGAAAACAACAGAAATGTGACAATAGCTTAGTTTTTCTGTTTTCAATAGCTTAGTTTTCAATTGCTGCTTACAAAAATATCCTGATAATGTCCTGCTCTAAGATAAACAAATGTCTCCATTATGATACTAATACTAATCCACTCTGGCAACCAGTCATCTTAATATTAAAACCTGCCTGTGCATATTTAGACAGCAGACCTTTACTTTGTAACATTTTCATTAACTTGTTTTAACCCCTCACTCAGTGCTCACAGTTCCATTACCCTCAATTACTATAAATAGCATGTGTATAGTGTTTGTCTACTACCTGTACCTAGAAAACATAAAATTTAAAAAATAAAATCTACTCAACCTCATCATCAAATATATTATGATTTTCTCCTTAATACACAATTCTCTATTTTAATATTCTTTTAACTAGGTATACAGCACCATACTGCCAGTCAAACATTACTGATAGTGGACATTTCATATTAAAATGGCTGGGTTTCTAGTAAAAGTTTAACATCTCACTATCCTTCTCCATACCTTGTAGTCAGATGAAAAATGTCAATGATTTATTATTCTTGTCAGAACACTCTGGCTCTGACTTTAAGGTCACTATGCTCTTAAGTTTTGTGTAGGAGAGCAAGCTGTGTACACCTTAAGAGGGTGTATACAAAATAAAGGAACAAAGCAGCAAAGCAGAAGTAATACACCTTGATTTTAATAAACCCTTTGCTGCTACCTCAGAAAATATTACCTGGAAAATTAATTCAGATTCGTGTCCATCTAATCATCGCAATGTGGACTGAAAGCTGATTGAAACAATGAAGAAAGCATCAATTTAGCAATACAGCTGAACAAGGAGTTGTGATAGTCAGTCTGGGAAAATGAGATTCACTGAGAGAAAATAAAAAAGCTGGGTATTTGTTTATTCCATGACCTGACACAGCTACCTGCTATCCTACTAGGTAGAAGACTAGACAGGGGATAGATTAACGTGTCCAGTTATGAGACGATAAAACTCAAAGACAATTAACACTCCCCCAGAGAATGATAATTTAGGAATTATGATATATAGAGAATCACAGAATCATAGAATGCTTTGGGTTGGAAGGCACCTTTAGAGGTCATCTAACCCAGCCCCCCTGCAGTGAGCAGGGACACCGTTAGCTAGATCAAGTTAGTATGTTTTCATTGATACTTTCTGTGTATATATTAAGAAAGAAAAAAACAGTCCATATATATGAAATCAGTTCCTAAAGCTATTGCTATCCTATAATTTACTTAACACTGACTACAATTTATTTTAAAACAATTCAGGTTCATTTAATTGCTTTGAAATTAGGATCAGAAAATGGAACGGTTGTCAATGTAATATCGTATTACTCTGTCTATATATGGTTGCCACCCTGTAGCATTCAGTGGAAGGTAAGTTTAATTTAATTACTGTAATAAGAATATTTCAAATCTTATAGTAAACATCCTGTAAAAGCTTAGTCTTTCTCACCTTGATTAAGCAATATTGGACGTCTGCATTTAGTAACTGAAGGCTAGCATTAAGAAACTAAGTAGCAGGAGTAAAAGAACAAAAGTGCATCTATGTAAATTCTGAACATCAGAAACCAGAAAGTGCACAAAAAATCTTCAGGAAAAGATTTAAAGTTCTGACAATTCTGATTTGTTAAAAATATTCAAGGATCTATCCAAGTATGTAACTTTTCCCACAAACTGTAAATTTGCTTACAGACACTTAAGTCCTGGGGAAAATTATCTAAGCTCAGAAGTATCCCATACATGAATCATACCACGTTATCAGCACAGCAAGTCATGGGTAGGAAATACTGCTCACATGATACAACAAAGGAAGTAAAGGGGTGGACTGTTTGGTGGATAGGGTCGCATCCAGAGGGTAGTGGTCAATGGCTCAATGTCTGGATGGAGACCGGTGACGAGTGGTGTCCCTCAGGAGTCCATACTGGGACTGGTGCTGTTTAATGTTTTCATCAACGACTTAGACAGCGAGATCAAGTGCACCCTCAGCAAGTTTGCGGATGACACCAAGCTGAGTGGTGCGGTTGACACACCAGAAGGATGGGATGTCATCCAGAGAGACCTGGACAGGCTAGAGAGGTGGGCCTGTCTGAACCTCATGAGGTTCAACAAGGCCAAGTGCAAGGCCCTGCACCTGGGTCGGGGTAACCCCCAGTATCAGTACAGGCTGGGGGAAGAAAGGATCGAGAGCAGCCCTGCTGAGAGGGACTTGGGGGTGCTGGTGGACGAAAAGCTGGACATGAGCCGGCAATGTGCACTGGCAGCCCAGAAGGCCAACCGTACTCTGGGCTGCATCGGGAAAAGCGTGACCAGTGTCGAGGGAGGGGATTCTGCCCCTCTACTCTGCTCTGGTGAGACCTCACCTAGAGTACTGCGTCCAGCTCTGGAGCTCTCAGCACAGGAAGGACATGGAACTGTTGGAGTGGGTCCAGAGGAGGGCCACAAAAATGCTGCGAGGGCTGGAGCCCCTCTGCTCTGAGGCCAGGCTGGGAGAGGTGGGGGTGTTCAGCCTGGAAGAAAGAAGGCTGCGGGGAGACCTGATTACGGCCTTTCAGTACTTAAAGGGGGCCTATAGGAAAGATGGGGAAAATCTTAGTAGGGCCAGCTGTGACAGGACAAGGGGTAATGGTTTTAAACTAAAACAGGGTAGGTTTAGACTGGATATAAGGAAGAAATTCTTTACAATGAGGGCGGTGAAACACTGGAACAGGTTGCCCAGAGAGGTGGTGGAGGCCCCATCCCTGGAAGCATTCAAGGCCAGGTTGGACGGGGCTCTGAGCAACCTGATCTAGTTAGCGGTGTCCCTGCTCACTGCAGGGGGGTTGGACTAGATGACCTCTAGGGGTCCCTTCCAACCTAAAGCATTCTATGATTCTATGATAAGAAATGGCAGAAGAGCAAAATTAAGAACGATGACAGTAGCAGTAGAAAGAGCGTTATGGTTAAACAGTCCATCTTGCCTTTTTGTTGTTTTGAATTTTAAATCCTCATTTACAAATACTATAACCTCACTCTAGTTTTTGTCCTTTTTTTTGCCTACTTTTGTCTTTTCTTCCTCTTTCAGTATTAAGTGCTCAATTTCAATCTGCATAGAATAATTAGCTTCCTAATCCCCCCCGAACTGTTGCCATCACTAGGAGCACCTGAAATACCACACTCAACCTGATGCAGCTAAGAGAAAACTAGAGATGCCACAGTCCTGGCTTCATTTGAGATTTCCTTTTTTCCTTTGCCTCAATGTTTCTTACTATTATTATTTGCTGCCAGATGACTTCTTTCCAGAAGATGGGGTAGGTGGGGATATCAGGGCAGAGATCTGTTAAGATCCCACGCCCCTCTGAAGAACTAGAGGAACTAGACTGGAACAGTTTCCTCAAAAAATGGAAGACAGCTTTGATTAGGTCTGTATAGAAAAGGGTGAAACAACAAACTGGCTAGACAGAACAACCTAGCTCTAATTACAAAGAAACTACTCACACTTGCATAGTACTAGCTGAGAAAAAAGGTGATCCAAAAAGAAAGAGACATTTTTTACTCACTTCATACATGATAGTAAAGAACTACGAGTCAGAGTACCTTTGTCCTCAGGTTTTGGTTTCAATTTCGAGGATATAACATCCTCATATGAGGACACACTAATGAGGACATACTGTCTCATAAACATTGCTAGCAAAAGCGTCCAACTTTTTCCATTTTAGGTACCTACACCCAAGCAAAATGTACATATTAAAAAGCACTAGGAAAACTAGCATCTATAAATGTATGCAAACGTAGAACAAAGCCAAGCCTTCTGGCTACTTTTTCTATGTAGAATTACTATGCAGAACAATGCTGAAGCAAAAGAACTAGGTGATGCTAGTGAGTCATCACACACTTGTCCTTGTGATGTCAAAATACTTGGGGGTTAGTTATTGGTGTTATCCAGGCGATCATACATGAAAATTCAGGCTAGGTCATTATCAAACTCTTGGATGTGCAAAACTCACAGCCGGGAATGCATTGTTACCTGTATTAATTTACACCAGTTAGAATCATAGAATGGCTTGGGTTGGAAGGGACCTATAAAGATCATCTAGTCCACCCCCCCTGCCATGGGCAGAGACATCTTCCATAGGCCAAGCTGCTCAAACCTTACAACCTTACAAGTCGTCCCAAACTTTACAAGACAGACCAAAATGTATCTGCCATCTCCTCCTTTCCTGAGTCTCCATTCTTACCACACATTTTCCACAGTCCACTCTGGACCCCTGCCTCCTTGGCTTTCTCCCCTTCCAAACCTGGGGGACTCCTCTGTCACCTGGGCAAACAATCCTTAAGGTTCAGGGTGAAAAGTCTGCCTTTGTAGTAATACTGTTTCTCTAATGCACTCCCAACCCAGCTCTAAAACATCTTTCTCTCTGAGAAGGATCCAGAGGACATGTTCTCTTCCTTTCAACCCTCTTCCCCCAGTCCAGTGCCACCAACACGCTTGTCAGCTGCATTTTTTTTTTTTTACTGAGAGGCAGCACTTGCTGACCAAGGTGCAGGAAGGAGGGAGAGACAGTAACACAAACTAGATTGATGGTTCTCATTATCCCCAGTGCTGGTGTGGTGTAGTGGTGAGAGGGATGCAGTTTGGAGAAGACCACTCAAAGGAGAGGCAGCGCTGAAGGTCTAGGGAGGTTCAGGGGAACGAGACAGAACACAGTCCATACCACAGCATCGCCTCTCCCTGCTCTCAGCTTCTGGCTGTTCCCTGGAGCTGCAGCACTGTCGCTTATGGAAGATGAAATATCTAGAGCCAGCAACAGCTCCTCACTGGTTGGGAACTACTGATTTATATCACCGATAAAAGTATAAAATGTAAGAATGACACAATGGACATGTGTGCAGAATACTCCAACTCTATACAATATTACAGGAGCCGAAAACATACTGCAATCAAAATGTCAGTCTGAAAACTACATACACGTTTTAACTTACGAATGAACACAGATTAGCAAGAGTGAAATTGTGCACAGTATATAATGCCATGTTGTCCTTCAGGGATAAAAAGCTATATATAAAACGCAGAGAAAGAAAAAGAGAAGTTTGAGGCTCTAAAATAAATTAGAAAGAAATCAGGATTTTGTCCTTCCTTTTTAATTCCCTTTGAGAGCATATTCTTTCTATCATATTTATATTGCCATTTTCTCATAGTCTTAGCCATGCGTTTTCAAGCTAAAACTTTAGATCCAAAACTTTATATAGCTAAACTTCTCATGCAAAAATATGAAAAAACCCCAAACAAACCAGGAAAAGTATGCATCATTCCTACATGTCAGCACAGCAAAACTGGCCATGTGACTACCTGATCCTACACTATTTTCTCCCTGCAGGTTTTCAAAGGCATGGTGCTCAATTTTGATTAATGTTACAAAAAAAAATCGAATCTGTTACAGCAAGAACTAATACAAAGATGGGGATTCCCAGCATTTAATATGCAAAGTCTGTAGTGTTGGTGCAACCACTGCCTGGCCCTCCTCAGTGGAACAGAAGGATATAATTTTGCTGACATGTACTCAAAGCAAAGATGGAGAGAACAACAGAAAAGAGAAGGGGATAGTACTGATTCCTGATTTTAGTGTCAATCTCAATTTGCTTCTTTATTTTTTACCTAAATCAAATTTTCTGATCCAAAATTATTAATAAATACCCACCGAAGACACAATTCCTGCCCTTGCAAGAAAATGAGTATAAGGGTACACAGTAGAAGAGAGACATTCCTATAGAAAGGTATTTTTGTTTCAGGATTTCCAGACTTATTAAAGAAAAATTATAAGGAATTTTAAAACATCACGCAGTTCTTCCAAAAATAACATTTTAATGTGGTTCTTTCCTTTACAGTATCAAAGTAACGTTTAAACTCTACAGATTGAAGGCAATGTTCTTGACTGCCCATTTTTCTGAATCTGATTTGAAAAACAGCTCACCTCCCAGGACCATACCAGCTTGACAGCACTTCCTCAAGCGACACGCTGGACAGTTTTTCCTACGAATTTTATCGACTATGCAGTCATTTCTTCCAGCACATAGATAGTTGTGCTGCCCTGCAGGCAAGAGAAAAACAGGATTAATAGTACATTTTCTAACATGACAAAATTATTTCTGTGTATAAATGTTCCAAATGTAATAGAAGATTCAAAAAAAGTATACCTGAACAATTAAAGGACATTTTATGCTATCTTTCCAACAATCATGTTACTATTTAAATATAATGATTTATTTGGCCTGTTTAAAAGTGCGTCTGACTACCTATGAAATTCTAAAATAATTAGCAGACAGTATGAACTGCTTTAATTATTGTACTATCAATATTTCTTAAGTAAACTAAGCATGAGGACAGACCAATTTGTTTCTTTCAAATATGTTTTTCTTTTACGTTATTGTTCCTGATTTTAAAGAGCTTAAATAAATTTTGCTCATATTGATGTGGAGTTTCCAATAGAAAACTGAATGTAGAAGTTGGGGCAGTGCAGAGAAGCCTTTTAAGCAGAGTAAATTATCTCTGATGGAGAAGCAGTTTTGTACTAGACCTACTGAAATACCAGCTGAACAGAAGCAACCAACAGAGCCAAAAAGGACAAACAGAAGAAGGCTGTAACTTTCTGGTTAAGGTTAGCTCTTAGTTTATTGTTTAATTCTGAAGGACTCATTTAGGAAGAGCCTGTCGTAACTGTATTAAAATGGAATCTTTTTAATGAAATTAGTTTCCAGCAGAGCAAAAAGTTAAATTCAGCTGATATCCTGACACTCTTCTGAGCACAAACTTCAATGATACTTCCAAATTTCACTTGAAGAGAATGAAAAAAGTATGCTTTTATGCTGTAGTGTAATATTCATAATTTGTGATTGATTTTAATTTTAAATAAGTACGCAAAGCCAAGTAAGTACATAAGTAAGAAGAAATCAAAGCTAATTTTCACATATCCTTTCATATATCTCAGGTTTACCCTGTAAGGTTTAACTTTAAAAGCCTGATTGTTTGTGCACATCATCCTCTATTTATTTCTGCATTTTCAGATTCTTACCAGTACCTAGCATGAAAGCATGAAAACCAAAACCAAAAGTATTTATTCTGAAAGGAACAAAATGGATCCAAAAAAGTACGGATGAACTACAGAAGTACCAGCATCATGGATATTTCCTTCATGGAATATTCTGGATGTGGACTTCCAAATACGACAGACATCAATACCAAACCTTTTAATTTTTCACTAATTTCTAGATCAGTATAACTCTGAGTTATCCATCTGATGTCACCAGCAGCAAACAAATCTGATGATTATTCTGCTCAGATGCTGTTATTCAGCTATCATTGTAACCCTGTTCTGTCCTTTCTCTGCACATGGTAAAATGAGTAACTGTTCACCAGTTACTTTTCTCCACAGAAGAAAGACAAACTGAAAACAAATCCTCAGATGAAAATGAAGGAGAAAGAAGAACATACTATTCCAGCAAAAGAGCAGAGCTAGTGCTAAACTATGTGAAACAATGTATTTGTTGCTGTGCTTTTTTTTCGATAATTAATTTACTTCTTACCCATACTTTCAAGAGCAACTTGTTTGGTTTTAGTGAAAGAAAACTGATTGCCTGAAATTCATTTTTATAACAGTTTCTTTTTTTTTTTTTTTTTGGAAAACAACAGGTAGATCAGTGGCCTCATGCATTGCCTGGCATTTAAAAAGTATTTAGTAATGCAGTAAATTAGAAGAAATTCTCATTTACTTTCTCCCATTAATTCTAATCCTGGATTCCTTCTTACACAAAACATTATCAAAAGTAACCAAATGAATAAAAAATCTGTCTTGCTTTTGGCAGCGGATCAGGAAGTAAAATACTTATTTTGAACGCGTCTTCCTTGGGTTTATTTGCAGTTTTTCCTCATCTTGCTTTGCCTTTATTAGCTCCAAAAGCATTCGATCTTTTGATAAGCAACAACAGTTTTAAAACACTCTTAGTTTAACTAAAATCTATAAAGCATCAGATGATCTCTGCACTGTGGCATTATGAAGCTTTAATATATGGTTAATTTACAAAGGAATGCTTAAGCATAGGTTAAGTTTTGTTTGTGGGTGTCTTGGTTTTGGGGGTTTTCTTTGGTGCCCTGAGAGGTATCTCTTCTGGATCTCTTTTCTAGGGAATCTTTTGAGTCTACACAACATTGTCTGAGTCCATATAACCCATGTCCATTGCAAGACCAAAAAATGGACTATGTATTTCCAGTATGGCATTAAATGCTCACAAGCAGCTCACAATGCTATAGGCATTCAAGTTGCACTTTTCCCCCGGTAAAGATACAGAAAAATGCTGATCTACCAAAGCCAATGCCGCATCGTGAAATATTACTCTTCAAGCACTCAGAGAACACTGTTTCTACATTCTGGAATGATGTCAGTATTTAGAATTCACTCTTGATATCAGTATGTGATTTGAGTACTCAACACTCAAGTGCATGCTCTAACTGCTAACGGAGACTAAGGGGCTTGGGTGGAAGCAGTAATGGCAACACCGTTCCTGCTAAAACAGGAAATTATCTGGAAAAACAGAAGTTAATAGTTTGATTTATACTGACACATTTAAATAGCCTATATTATTTGTATAATGGTGTTTAAAAGTTATGCATCTAAGATTAACCATTACAAATCAAGGGTGCAAAACATTGTAAAATTTAAAATCTAGAGTTACACGTTTAAGTTTAGCTGCAGCTCTTAAAAACCTCTTCATAACTGAGGGGTTATCAGTAGACCCAACTTCCACTTCAACTGAAAAAGCATGAATTACTTCATCATTACGTAACAACTCACAACCTGCTTATTGTAAGCCCAAGACTGAATACATTTTTTCACATTTGCAAAACAGATTGTATATTAATCACAATTATGAAAACTACTCTTCAATGTTCAGATGTTCTAGAGTTTAAGATTAGACATGATTAAATAATCTCTCTGTCCAGTGTATACCATGGAAGAAATGAAGTCTGTTATTGGAATTTAGGCACAGTAAGAATTTGCTTTCATCTTCAAAAATTGAGCATTATTTCATTCCTATTTATTTCAAAAATTGTATTTAAAAATGTAATAATGACCAATGACTTAATCTTTTATTATGTCTTCACCTAGTCTGTTTCTTCCCCAAAGCCTCCATGATACTAGCATAAAAAAAAGAAGCAAGAAAAAGCCCAAACCCTGCCAACCTAACCCTCCCATGAGATTATGATGATAAAATCTCAGGCACTTCTTGATTCTTACAATCAACCACTTCCTTGTTTTCAAGACTATAAAAAAGCCACAGTCATATCCTGAGCCTCAATCACACCTTCATGTGAGTTTTCCACTCTACTTGCCTCTATTCAGTCTCTCCCTAACACTTCCCATCTGAAAGTATAGTCTGTTCATTCCGATTCAGCTGCAACTTATTTGGAAAACACGTAAGGTTCAATTATATAGTATTTTTCATAGTCTCACCTGTCTGGGATTTTTTTATTGTCTCAGTCATCTGAATTGATCTCATAACTATAGGTAAATCTGAGTCAATGTTCTCATCTGAAAACATTTCTACCATTATGCAGACCCAGGTTCTGAGAAACTGCTAATTGCTTGACATTAACATGTCAGTGGCAGCACCCATCTGAAGGACAGATTATTTAAGAAATGGAGAACATGCCAAATACTTGGTTAATTTCAAAACTATAGGACAATATTTAGTTTGATGAAGCTGTTTGGAGTGTTTTCACTGGATGCTAAAAAATTTATTTGAAAATACTTTTGCTGTACCTCAGTCTTTAGGATCTTCTGTATTTTTTCAATACGTGAGCACTGTAGTTATATTAAATGCATGTACTAATGAAGTATCCAAAGACCCTTGTCAAGATAAAATTCCTGTTCAATTAGTAGCTTGTCATTCAGTATCTTTTATATGACTACTGTCCTTATAACCAGGAAAAAAACCCAGAAAAAAAGAACAGTAGTCTAATCACTAGATCACAGGTCAGAAAATAAGATTGATATTTGTGTTTCTTACAAAAATATGAATCTGGCAACTTTCTGGCAACTGCCACCTTCTCAGAAGTCTTCAGCCGATATTAAGTTTCCTACGTATGTTTACTTTTTACATCTTTTTGAAAGTGCACATTGTACCTTGCTCCCAACATATCAACTTATCAGCTTCTGACCTAGATTTGATTGAGATTATGGAGAAAATAGGGAGACATTTTCATCTGTTACTCATGTTTCAGGTTCTTGTAGGGTAGCATTTTTCCTAACCTCCATCAAAGTCCATCAGTGTTAGCAAAGGTGGATGCAAACAGGCAAATACAATTTTAAGTACTGTAATGACTATTGCTATACTAGCAGGTTTATATCAGAAAGTCATCAACATGCCAGTGGTACACACACACAAATTACAGTCACAAGTTTTGCTATGAGTAAAGCTGCACAGATTGTACTCGAGCACTGAGATATTTTAATCCAAATACTGCTGGAAGTAGCACACACAGTGTCTTTATAAAAACTGCACTATTAACTTAGCTCACTGACATGCTGTAAGTCACTTAAAATCACTCGAGTAAACCAACAAGTTGTGGAGATTTTGCAGATGTGCAAAATACGGAAAACATAAGGCTTTATCTGCACCAGGGGTATCAAATGCAAGCAACCAGTTATTTGTGTAAGTGCATCTGTGGTGAACTGCTGCCATCCTGCACAAATGCAAAGCACTTGTTTGCAAACTCAGTTCCTCTTGTCTGCAAGCAAAGTACTTTTTCAAATCTTTTTTTCTCTCTCCCATATGTGATTCTGCCTCCCTCTGTATCACTCTTAATTGGCAACGCTTTCTTACAATGTTATCCTAACCCCATCACTGGAGGACTGTTCTTTGCAAAACATACCATAGTGTTTTATTTAGTCCAGTTTTAGATTTCTGTCTAAAAACTGCAGATACCTATTTCATCTCTTTGTGAATTATTTTATTGCCAAATGTCTCCTCCCAAGGTCGATTTTTTGCTTCCTGAGAGCTAGCCTCCAAGTTTTGATCAATAATTTACTACCAA